ATAAAAATAAAGATATATTTTTAGATGATTGTTTTTGAGTGTAAAACATGAGACACTTCAACTAAAATTTTTTATGATTTTGGATCTCATCCAATTTCATTATCATAGTATTTTTTCATCCGAACTTTACATCCTACAGAAATGTATCTAGAAGGAAGGGCCTGTATTAAACTGAAATTCCCCGATTCAAATTTACTAGCCAAGCATTCTAAAAACATGAAGATGAGATGGAGAAGGAAAATTCTGACTTGAAATTTATCAGAGATCCAAGTCTAGAGAGTTCTTGAGGTTCCCTCTCTAATCTTGTGGCCCTTGGGCTGCAGCACATACTATCCTGTATATAAATCCGGCACTGAACACAGAACATTCTCTTTCACAACTACTTATAAAAAAATTTCTGATGAAGCTTAAATAAGTTAAACTTGTTCAATTTTTAGATGTTTCTTATTTGTTCCTTATTCTATCATATAAAACTTGAAATTAATACATTATTTTAAATTAAAATATTAAATTTAATTTTAATATTTTGTTCAATGAAGTGTAATCTCAGCTGGACTGGAAAAGTGAGTTATATCCATGACACAGCATGTTTTTGTCAGTTTTTATTTGCCATATCTTCAATGATATTGATAGCTTTGCCATATTTGCCAGCAGATAAGATGCCCATTAAAAAACACAACAGATCATATTACAATTTTCTTTGTTCCTTTGTTTGCTTGTACCTTATGCCCTTTAATAGATTACTTGTCCCCTGCCCACAAATTGAGCTTGCCTGTCCCCTGCCCACAAATTCTTAGTATAGCAGCAGTGGACAGAGTAAATTTTTAAAGCTTTTATTGTTGTCTTTTAAACTTCTGGCCAAATGTATTTTTGGGGGGGGGGTGTTTGGACATATGTGCTGCTAGGAAGAAAGGCATGCATATAGGTACCTCCAATAATTTGGCATACCTAAGGTTTATATGAATTTTCATAAATTAAAAATCTTTCTTGAAGCTTTCATTTTAGTTTTAATTGCAAGCTAAAGGATTAAATTTTCTATTTTCAGAAAACAAAATACTGTGATATATTTCAAGTAGAAAATGGAATAATTTTTAGTTGAATTATTTTTTTTCAGAAAAACCAATTGAAAAGGCCATATTGACAGTTGTAAACAAAAGTTAATTCTCAGTTTTAAAAATCATGCAAAAATATATATTTCTGAAATGTTATTTGTGGAAAATTAGCAAATTTAAAGTTAAATTAATCTGTTCTGAAACTAATATTACTTATATCATAAAATGTTGTATACAAGCATTTCTTAACCACGGGTTCTTGTTATTCTCACATCTCCATTGATATATTGATGGCCTAAGGTGTTGACAGGTTCAGTATGGTGGACCAGAATTGACATAAATTTATGAATTCTGAGTAAAAATGGTTTGTTTTTGTTTTTTAACAATTTTTTAAAATTAACAAAATATTTTAAGCAATTATCTAATATTTTATTGAATGTTTTAGGTACTTATCCTTATGTTTGAAGATGCTTTCTGAAAATATACTAAAATTTGAAATACTATAAAAATTTCTTAAATTAAAAACATTTCATAAATTATTGAGTTACCTCTACAATAGTATTTTATTAATTATCATAGTTATTAAATTAATTTAATAACTAAGATAATATGATAATTTAATAACTGAGATAATAAATAAATTTATTAATTATCATATCTCAGTTATTAACTTTTTAATTTAATAACTGCGATAATAAAATGCGATGATAGAGGTAATTCAATAATTTGAAATTTTATGGTATTATTATGTTTTATTTTTTCATTTTAGTTTGTTACTAATTGATATATCCTGATGGTTATGAAATTATTTTATTTATTAAATTTTTAAAGTACTTAAATTTTATTCTTACTTAGGTAAGTGTACACTTATTTTATGTAAGCATAATCAAATACCTCAATGAAAAAAAAAATTGCTACCTGGCATAACACTTTTCGGAATATTTTGTGGTTCTGGGATGGGCCGTTTTTCTCACAGAAGTTAAATGAAACAATTGCCCAAAGCAGTAATGTTTATCCATAGGGGGGGGGGACAATGTGACCATTTAATGACAGTGTCACATATGAAATGCTATACTTATAAACAAAGAACATGCAAAAAATTTTTTTTTTTTTAACTATTTAAAAAATTTTTGGTGTGATGATTTGTATTAATCTTCTCAATTTTCACTTAGTAAATATAGACTTAACTTAATAATCTAATTTTGATGATATTTTTAAAACGTTTTAAAACTTTATAAATTAAAAGGAAAAATGCAAGCAATTCTTGTAAAAATTCATTATTCATTGAAGAAAATTTTTTCATACTATAATGTCCTTAACATATATTATTTATAAAAGTAATTAAAAGCTTATCTAATTAAATAATTTGATAGTTTATCGCAGTCTTTGTTTTACAATATGGAGCAGATTTTAGGGAATTTGGTAAGTTTGAAAAAAAAATTGATTTACATTCTCCAAGGAGTCCTGCTTTTTAACTAATAAAAAAACATTTTGTTGACAATTTTAAATTTTAGAAAATTTCATGAAATTAGGTTAAGAGATGTAAAAAAAGAAATAGATATTTTTTACCAAGATTTTCTAAAAATAATAATTTAAAAAATGAAATCATTTATTTCTGAATAAATATTGAAAGTTTAATTAAAATCTGACAATTATTTGATTTTTGTGAGACTTTCCAAATTAATGCGTTATTTTACCAGAAAACAGGTGCAAAATTGTCCATTACCAAGTGCTGAATGAGATGGAGAGAAAATTTTCAGAGTTCAAGTGGAGACATTGGAAGTATAGAGCCACTTGTAGTAGAGAGTTACAGAGTAAGAGGCACAATTTGTGGGGAAAATTATCATGTATTACTGCATATATGTAGTTCATAAGCATATTTGGAATTAGAATAATTTTCTTAAAAAGGTTCTCATGTTATTTTGTCTTACAACCTAGAATGCTTGACTATTTTACTCTTCGTAGCATTTCAAAGAGTAAAGTGATGGCCAACTTTTAAATACCTGACAATACTCTTGAGTTATTTGGAACGAACATCAAAAAAGAATTTTCGTCTTGAATAAATTCTCTTTTCATTACAAGCTTTCAGAATCCTTGTCAATTGCAGGGAATAGTGGATTCATGTCTTTCTCTGTGACATCAGTATGAAGTAACAGCAAGCAAATTCTGTTGGAAGTTCAAATGCTCCTCCTAGTTTTTTCTTTACTAAACAAATTTGCACCTTCTGAGAAATAGAGAAATTTAAAAAATTAATGTATTTTCTGGCCACAAGAATGCACCATAATTTTTGTGTCTAAAATTTTGTTAAATTAATTAGGCTAGTCTCATATATATATATATATATGTGTGTGTATATATATATATAATGACATTTCCAGATCTCATATCATTTAATGGAATTTGATAAATTTTTTTTTCTCCTTATTTTTTCATTTACATCTCTTTCTTGTTCCTTCCTATATTTTACCTTAAATTTCATTTCCTATTTTCTTTTTTCTTTTTTTTTTTTTCCAGAACAATCTTTTGGATGTTGTTGCTGCCATCAAATTATCAAAACAAACTGTGAGACGGATTCGGATCAACTTCTTTGCAGCATCAATTTATAACTTAATTGGCATTCCAATTGCTGCTGGTAAGTAATCAATTGGATTTTCTGCAGGTGAAGTATTTTCTAAAAAAACTTGTTCAAAGTTTATCCAGTCTCTGTAAAACTTTCATCCTTTAGCATATATCACAGGGGTCGGCAATCTATGGCACACATAACACACTTGGCACGCCAAGCAATTTCCAATGGCATACAGCCACAAATGACATCACAAAGTCTGAACTAATAACTACTACAATGTAAAGAAGATATTTAGTTGTTTCAATTTTAATATATACTAAAGTATATATATTACTATATAAAATATATTGTAGAACAGGTATATTGACCTTGACTTATATAAAAATACGTAAGCTGTTGGCATAATGAATGATTTTAAAACCACTAAGTCAGCACATAGTTAGCAAAAGGGTTGCTGACATCTGATATGTCAGTTTGAGAACTTTCATTTAATTGTATTTTTTATTGGCTCCAGAAGAGACTGGCACATATCCAATCCTTTTGAATGTTTTATAATACTCCCTCTGTGTTAGGAGTCTCATTCTGCCAGTGGAGCTTTCCACCTACATTTTATTTAAGTTTTTGATCTGAAGAGGTCTTAGTTGAAGCTAGTTGAAACCTCCTCAGGAAAGAAGGTGGGGACGTTGTTGTTGTTGCTAATATAATAATAATAATAATGTGACTCTCAGAACAGACATCCAAATTTTGCTGGTAGAAACAATAAAATATTTATTAAGGGTTACTGTTATCAGTTTATACATAACCTTATTCTGCATTACTGTGGTCTAACTAACAATGGCCATTTTTTTTAATCAGTAGATGCCAGTATAATTTACAACACCTCATTTAGGTGATGTGTTCAGCACTTATTCTTTCACCCTTATGCCTTCTGGTTTGTTGAGGACTCATTCTCCTACCTTTGTAACTTGGTGGTCTGTTCAGCACTCATTCTCCCACCCTTCTGCCTTGGTAGTCTGTTCAGCACTCATTCTCCCGTCCCTCTGCCTTGGTAGTCTGTTCAGCACTCATTCTCCCGTCCCTCTGCCTTGGTAGTCTGTTCAGCACTCATTCTCCCGTCCCTCTGCCTTGGTGGTCTATTCAGCACTCATTTTTCCCACCCCTATGCCTTGGTGGTCTATTCAGCACTCATTTTTCCCACCCCTATGCCTTGCTGGTCTATTCAGCACTCATTCTCCCACCCCTATGCCTTGCTGGTCTATTCAGCACTCATTCTCCCACCCCTATGCCTTGCTGGTCTATTCAGCACTCATTCTCCCACCCCTCTGCCTTGGTAGTCTGTTCAGCACTCATTCTCCCACCCTCTGCCCTAGTCTGTTCAGCACTCATTCCTCTGCCTTGGTCTCTTTCAGCACTCATTCTCCCCCCCCCTGTGCCTTGCTGGTCTATTCAGCACTCATTCTCCCACCCCTATGCCTTGCTGGTCTATTCAGCACTCATTCTCCCACCCCATGCCCTTGCTGGTCTATTCAGCACTCATTCTCCCACCCCTATGCCTTGCTGGTCTATTCCACTCATTCTCCCACCCCTATGCCTTGCTGGTCTATTCAGCACTCATTCTCCCACCCCTATGCCTTTGCTGGTCTATTCAGCACTCATTCTCCCACCCCTATGCCTTTGCTTGCTGGTCTATTCAGCACTCATTCTCCCACCCCTATGCCTTGCTGGTCTATTCAGCACTCATTCTCCCACCCCTATGCCTTGCTGGTCTATTCAGCACTCATTCTCCCACCCCTATGCCTTGCTGGTCTGTTCAGCATCTATTCATAGCCCTATCCCAAATGTTCCGTTTTCCTACCTACTTAGGATATTCTTCTACCTAAATTGTTCATCCATCCAATCCCCCTCTTTATTTTCTTCATTTTTAAAAATTCTTTTGTCCTTTGTTCATCTGTTCTTCCTTTTTAAGTTTTTCTTTTCTTTGTTATTTTCCTCCTCTATAGGCTTCCGTCCCTCTCTCTGTAGCTTTCTGTCCCTCTCTCTTTAATATTAGGGTTATCTTCTGTTCACTCCCTCTCCTGCCAGTGTTCAACATGCTCATCGGGGAAAAAATAAATGATATAAGAGATTACATTTTCGTTATCTTCATGACTTTATTCTTTGGAAACAACTTTGGTGTTTCTCATGTTTATTGATTATCATTTTATTCTTATTCAGGTGTGTTCATGCCTTTAGGCCTCTCCTTGCGGCCTTGGATGGCTTCAGCAGCCATGGCCTTATCATCAGTTACTGTTGTGTCATCTTCACTGTTGCTCAAAATGTAAGTATTAATCAAAATTCTTTGTACACTATGTACATTGTTTAAACAGTTCTCCTCATTTTTATTGTGATACTCACAACGTTTCAGGCATTGTATGCTCTACCCTTCTTCAGGTGATATATGTTGGAAGGTCAGAGTGTACAACAGCTGAAATGTTGTGAATATGACAATAAAGATGATAACAACAGTTCAAACAATGCAAATTGTTACCAATACCTCATCCTAGAAATATGGACAGAAAATTATTTTTGTCTCACAAAAAACAATATTTCTTGTACCCAACACTCTTGAAAAAACAAAATGGTTTCTCCTCAGATTAGAATCTTTTGCAGCACAAGTTCGATTCCATTATAAATGAAATTAAAACAATTTATGTCTTTTAATCAAGCAAAAGGAGATTGCTTTCTTGAATCATTTTACCTCATGTAAGGCAATGAAGTCATTAAGTTCAAGGTGAGTATTAAAAATGGAAAAAAAAAAGCAGTACAATAAAAGAACGGGATTCAAGGTGACAGCTGACAATTGACATTGCATTTTTGAAGATCATAGTTGACAGGAAAGCTGGAAGTTGAACTAGAGTTCCACAAGCGAAAAGTGTGAGAAACAAAAATATTAGCATGGAACTTATGGTTACACCTACCAATTTCAATAGTGAAATTATAATACCTAGTTGCTAATCTAGTACTGTGCTTAAATTCATGAACACTTGGTACTGTTGGTGGTGACACCTGTTCACATGGGGATTACCATCCTCTATTTTTGTTCCCTTTTTCCAGCCTAGTGGCTGTGGCAGATATAGCTGTGAAAGCCCAGCCTACTACTGAAGAGTTGTGAGCAAGATTTACAGAGTTGTGTGGTTGGTGGATATAGCTGGGTGAGTTGGGCCCTCCTGACAGCACACCACAGATCCTCTTCATGTTGATGGTTGGACTTGGAAGTCTTGCTCCTCAACTCAGGGATGGTCCTACTCCAGGAAGGCCAATTTGTAGCAACAGTTTCCCAGGTTTCAGGGTCGATGTTGGCCTGTGTTAGGGATTTCTTCAACTGATCGTCGAAGTGCTGTTTTAGGCCTTCACATAGCCTCTTGCCAGTGGCGAGTTCCTCAAACATGATGAAATGTGGGAGTCAAGTGGGACACATTTTGGACATGTGACCTGCCCAGCAGAGTTGATGTTGAAGGTCAGTAGCCTCAATGCTGGGGAGAGATAGTTTATAAGATATTAATATAAGATAGTTTATAAGATATTAATATAAGATAGTTTATAAGATATTAATATAAGATAGTTTATAAGATATTAATATAAGATAGTTTATAAGATATTAATATAAGATAGTTTATAAGATATTAATATAAGATAGTTTATAAGATATTAATATAAGATAGTTTATAAGATATTAATATAAGATAGTTTATAAGATTATAAGATAGTTTATAAGATATTAATATAAGATAGTTTATAAGATATTAATATAAGATAGTTTATAAGATATTAATATAAGATAGTTTATAAGATATTAATATATCTTATATCAATATCTTATATCAATATCTTATATCAATATCTTATATCAATATCTTATATCAATATCTTATATCAATATCTTATATCAATATGATAGTTTATAAGATATTGATATAAGATAGTTTATAATTAGTTTAACTTCTACTTCAGCTAGTTTTGTTTGTTATACAGTGTTGGATAAAATAGCAAAAGGACATTTGCAAAATCTGTCGGTATTGACTGTCTTTATTCTTTTAAGATAAAAACAATATTCAATATTCATGTGAAGCAGTTGGACAACCAAACAACTGGCAAAAACAAACAAAAAACTTGATGATACATACACTTGATTCGTTTTACGGATGAGCAGATAAGATACATAGATAGAATAACCAAATGTAAGTACAGAGAAGCTCCAAAATAATTTTGAAACCAAAATTCCTGCATATAGGTTTATGCATAAATCATGCAGTAAGCAAATGAGTACTTTTTTTTTTTTTTTGCAGGAAGTAAACATTTAATGCTAGATTTACATTGAACAGTGTTATTCATACTTTGGCAATTCTATACAGCACTATCAAAAAGGAATATGGTCTTGAAGTCAAAAATAATAAAATGGTCAGAAAGTACAACTCTAGGTCAACCATAGGAACAGTCCTTTCCTCTTATAGCAGTCAAGCAGTTGGACATTAACCAAAACAACTGACAAAACAAACAAAAACTTAATACATATACTTGATTATTGAGAACAGCGTTAAATGCCAGCTGGAAACATAAAATGCCCAACAAAGATATGTATGGGAACTGACCAAAGATTATGGACACAATCTGTGAAAGGTGAATGTGGTTTAGTGTTCATTACTGGAGGAGTAAACAAGAAGTTGTTCATCAGTTTATATTATGGGATCCAAATTATAGCACGTCCTGGGTATGATGATAAACTACATCTGCATCCGGGGTAAGACGATAAACTACGTCCAGCAGCAAGGCCTCTGATCAGGAGGCTTTGAGGAGCGTGGAACCACCTCTTAATTGCTGGTGTTCCCAGTATAAACTGATGAACAACTTCTTGTTTACTCCTCCAGTAATGGACACTAAACCACATTCACAACCAAGGTGTCCAAAATATGTTTATTATAATGATTTTCCAAACGTAGCTTAGATATGGCACAAGGTCGAAAGTATGGGGCGCCTAGTGAGGATTGAACTCACTACTAAGTTGTAATTGTTCTAGATAGACAAACTTGCTAACCATTACACCGCCGCAGGGTGACCAATCTCTGAGAGTAGTATAGTAGCTTTTTACAGGAGTCAGTGTTTTTTGCTGACAGTTTAAGAATATTAAAATAATGTCATAGGAACTACTAGGTATGAAAAGGTGTATTTGTTTGCATTTTAGATCCTGTTTCTTCTTACAAATGAAAATGTTACAACCCCACATCATCACCATCAGTCCTCGACTGCTTCAATCATCGTGGGTACCTAAAGGGCAGAAGAAACAGATAACCTCCTCCAGAATGAGCTTTTAGTGATGGCTCTCAAAAGTTCTGGCTTTGTCATGTGCATCTACTGTTTGATGTTGTCTGACTAGCGTTATCGTCCCTGTTTGCATCTGCCTTTAACGGTGCCTTGCATGACGGTTTTACAGTGGCTGTTTTACCATATGATATGACAAAAGCATAACACCTGATGTTTAATAGTGACAAAAAGAGGTTTCTGTTGGCCTACAAGATGTTTGACCTTCGTACATAGTCATTGGTTTAGTTTGGTTTGTTGTGTTTTACGGCATATCAACCTCAATGGGGTATTTAATGCCGACAACTTTTTTCCTGGTAATATTTTGTTTTGTCAAAAATCTATTTCTAGTAATATTTTTTTTTCTTCAAAAATGTATAGCTGGTAATATTATTTTAAAACATGTATTGCAGGTAATATTTTCTTTCTTTTTTTTTTTTTTTTTTTTTTCAAAAATATATTGCTAGTAAGTTTTTTTTTTCTTCAACAATTTGTTTCTGGTAATATTTTTTCTATTTTTACACTTTTATAATGCTTTTTACCTCAGTTTTGAGGTTAATTATTTGCCCATAGCTGGGATCCTAACAGGTGCTACCACCCCAGGTCAGGGTGGACCTGGAAACACCAGCAATTTCAAAACCTGATCAGAGGCCTTGCTGTTGGATGTAGTTTATCATCATACCCAGGATGCATTGTCATTGGTTTTGTGTTCACAGTAGGAGATGCAGAGGAGAACGCCTGGACTCTTTTTTTTCTATCTCAATCAGGAGTATCCAAGTCTCATGCTCATAAATAGTGTTTGTAGGAATATAGAAGGCGATTATCTCCCTTTGGTCGAGAAAGTCACATGATGGCTGCTTAGTAAAGTCACTTCATACAGTGATGAAAGAAGCCAGTGATTCAGTCAGTAAGATTATTGGCATCAAGACACATTTTTGTTCTTGCTCTCTGGGCTTCCACCTGATATTACAGGTTACAGGTCCCTTTTGGGAATATATCTTTCCCAGATATAGAAAGAAACTCTGGTTTGCAGTCCTCAATTTGGGATAACTCAAAACTTACTGTTTCTCATTCATATAATATGTCCTTGCCTGGTATATGTAGATGAATCCAGCCTGTTTGAATCTGGAATCCTAAACATCACCTCTCCAGACACAGAAGTATCTCCATATCATATGTAAGAGCCATCCTTTTTGTTTTTGCTTACACTCTTCTCACTGTGTAGATATATGTGATATAGTATTCTCTGCATGGGACACATCTGTATATATAGTTTTGTACATGTCTTAGTGGTATAAAAGTCTCTCCAAGAACAAACCATGTTTGTCATTCCTTTTCCTTTCAGCCATTCGGTTCCTTCCGTGGATGACAGTGTTATTATATCACAGATATATAATAATGCCCATAATGGGGGAAATACAAAAGGGAGAATAAACCTTTCTATCATGGCTCTCTGGTTATATGCTACAATCCACATAGATAGTATAAAGTTATGAAATTAAAATTTGTTTTTATTTATTTAATTCTGAAATTTCTTTTTAGGTTCCGCAAGCCAACCAAAAACGAATTACGCACCCCAGAATATTTCCGTAAATACTGCAACAAGACAGTAGAAAATGTCTCTGTGCATCGTGGAGTTGAGGAAGACCATTCCAGTCCCCGGGGAAGTCGACAGAGCAGCATTCTGTCTCGGCTCAGTGGCAAATCCAAAAAGCCGTCAATGGCCGAAGCCAGCTTACTTGAGCTTGACCCTGCCCAAGATATTGAAGCTTAATTAACAAAATCTTTTCAATGCTTCATTGTGAGGCAGATGCCCAGCTCCTCACTTTTTCTGCTTCTGGAAGTCACTGTGAATCACCCAACATTCTATGTAATTTTTTTAATGATTTTATTTGAATTTGCCTTTTGAACATGAATTCCCTGACCTTAAAACTTTTCAACCTGATTCTGTTAAAATTCTCAGATTTGGCTGATGTCCTTTGACCTTTTTCCAGCTATATTTATTTTTTTTTAATATCATTTTTAATTTTCATCTAATTTTTTTTGCGAGATTTTGTTTACTTCCTCAGTTGTGTATTTTAATTTTTTAAATTTTAAATTGAGCTTTTCTGGAAAAGTTAAAAAAAAAAAAAAAAAAATTATCTGCTTAAGAACTGTTAACATAATTTCTGTGTTGGTTTACACAGATTAAAACACACACATTATCTACACTCGTGATGATGAAGGCATATCAAGTTGCAACAACATCATTTTTCTTCATTTCTTTTCTGTTTGACATTCTTGACAATTTTTTTAACCCCCCCCCAAATTAAAAATCTGTGATTATCTACCCCTGATTATGCTTGATTAATTTTTTTTCTTATTATCCCACCCCAATTACTGTATTTTGCTGTTTATAAGATGCATTTTTTTTTCTTATAGAATATCTCCAAAAATACTCTGCCTCTTGTAAATCGAAGGACAGTTATAAGTTTAGGGTGAATGTCAGCACTCGAGTTACATCCAATTCTGAGCCCTGTATCTATCTAATTTAAAATTAGTGCTCCATCGTGATCTGTGATGAATTCATCACAATTTGTGGATTTCAGACCGCAGTTGGGTCAGCTTTCAGTGTTATTATTAACTTCTTTTCTAATAATTACATTCTAAATAGTTATCATAAAATTGGTGCTTCTTCTTGGGCTGTGAGGGATATGTCATGAATAGTCAGGTTTTCATGCTGAAATATCCTATTCAGTGGATAAAAATAGGAGATAGTGTGGGCGGCTATGAAGTACAAGGAAAAAACTTTTTTTTCCAATTTCTTTTAAAATATTTTGTTCACGTGTCTAATGCATTGGAACATCTTATAAGCAGTAAAATACAGTGTGCTTGATTAATTTCCTCTTTTTTCTGGTAAGGAAAATCAAGTTATGATATGTTCTAAAAATGATTTTTTTTTTTTTATGGTGTTTGTGGTGTCATCAAGACAATTACTTATGGATTCCAGATTGAATTAAGTATTTGAAATCATGTTCGTTATGCCTTAATGTTAGAATAATATTAACAATATTTGTGCCCCCCACCCCATTGGTTTTTGTTATTTGGTTTTAACCTCCAACAAGGACTTTCATGTCGACCATCTTACTGTGATAATTGGAAATGTATAGAAGATAAACACAAACATTTAAATCTCTTTGACTATTGACCTGTATTGTTTTTCCTGGATTGATTGAAAAGCTTCCGATACAAGTTCACCAGTTATTTTCTGGAAAACCTGATTCCAGAAAAATGCCAGATTATCAATTTTGACAGACTGAGAGAGAGAGACGTTACATAATGATAATTCAGTAAAACATTAGAATTGTTAAAAACTTAAATTAAGTTTGTTTTAAATTTTCTGATAAATGTTTTTCACAGGTTTGCTACAACTTATCACATTTAGTTTATGAGGCTTACGGCCACATTACGTTGAAACACCGATTCGTGTATAATCACTGAAGTTAAGCAACATCGAGCTTGGTTAGTAGCTAGATGGGTGACCACTTGGTAATACCAGGTGTTGTAAGCTTGAATGTGTGGGTGGTGTAATGGATAATATTTTGGAATTGTTAACTGGAGAATTGAGTTCTAATTTCTGTTAGGTTTGTTATATTCACTTACAGGCAAATACCCTTGGGGAATGGTATGAATCCAACTTTTTCTCCCCCCAGCTATGGGTTAATTACTAAGACTTGTATCCTTAATTTTTTTGAGATGATAATTATTTATTAGAATCTAAAAATATCTTCTGGCTTTAAATAACCTGCAAAGAGTTGATAAGCTGTAAAAAATCGAATCTCTCAACATTTAGCTTGTGTCTCATGCAAATTGATTGATAGTTAAACTGTGTTGTGTTTCTTTCAGTTTGATGAGAGGTGAAGATTTTGGTAGTAAATAAATTGCATACATATTTTTAGTTCAGCTAAAATGATGGACAAATTAAAAGTTGTTCCACATTACCAGCTGCTAACAAATCTGTCGTCTACATGTAATTAAGGATCTTTGCAATGAATTCAGCATAAAAAAAATGGATGTCATATTTAAACATTTTTTTTTTTTTTTACACTATTTACATTATTCGGACTGTTGTTCTCTTTATTATCATATTCACAATGTTTTGGCCATTGTATGCTTCGGCCTTCTTCAGGTGATATATGTTGCAATTTTAAACTGATCCCATTATTTTGTCCACTGGGGTAGATTGTTCTATTTCTACATGCCATGCCTTTTCTGGATATCTCTGTTTCAGTTATTTCCTTTTAATAACTCAATTCTCTGAGTTTTTGTTTACATCTGCTGTGGTGAGGTATTGAACTCACAACTCTTTGGGTCAAGTCACTGGGCACATGGCCCACTGAATAAAAGTGCTGGTTGAAGTAATCCAGTGATTTGACCCAAACAGTTGACAAAATGAAGTATTCGGTTTGAAATTCCAATGTATATCACTTGAAGAAGGCGGAGAATACAATGGACAAGACGTCGTGAATATGACAAAAATTAAACAATGGACGAGACGTCGTGAAATATGACAATAAAGATTAAACAATGGACGAGACGTCGAATATGACAATAAAGATTAAACAATGGACGAGACGTCGTGAATATGACAATAAAGATTAAACAATGGACGAGACGTCGTGAATATGACAATAAAGATTAAACAATGGACGAGACGTCGAAATATGACAATAAAGATTAGGACAACAGCCTGAACAATGTAAATAATTATAATACCTCATCTCAGAAATATAGACAGGTTATTTTTTTTCCCCTCTCGTTTCTTTCATAATTTTTTGTCTTGAGTTTTGTTTCTTTGATGTAACATCATTTGCAGGCATAAATATGTAAATCGAAACTTCTAATTACGCCAGGAAAATCAAATTTTCCTCTCAAATGAAAGAGAATTTTTAATTTTCTTCTGCTGTCCTTTTGGTAATATTCATTCATTCTTCTGTCTGCTGAAACTATCAGATCTCTGCAAGTTTGTCCCCCATCTCTGACATGATTCTTAACCTTATCATGGAGTAGTTGGTTTGACAGTACAACCAGGTACATCATCAGGGTGTAATTCTTTTATTTGTTAACCAAACTTTTCTCTCAGAAGAGAGCTAAGGGCCAGCAGGAAAATAGGTGTGTGGCCCCTTAAAAAAAACAACAACAATACGTACACCACACACACACACACACACACACAAAAAAAAAACGTTCATGCTTTTCCTCTCTTCTAAATTGTATTTTGTTTTAAACATAAATTTTAAAAAGTTATGTCCCTTGAACTGCTGAAAGGGAGATTTTTGGGGTCAATTTTTATTCGCAAGTCGGGAATACATATCTCTAAATTGTTTTTCTGATCAACGAGTTAAGTAATATTTTTTTAAAATTGAAAGTTAAATTTTATGAATTATTTAAATAAAGAAATCATAAGAATGATTTGTTTTAAATTAAAGGTCACAATTTTTCAAATTTTATCCAAAATTTTTTGTTCCTAATTTATTTTTACAGTTTTTGTTGGCTTCGAATTTCTTATCCAAGGTCTTGATTTTTTTTTTTTTTTCCCAATACAAATTAATTGATGTTTGTTTTGATCATTACATTTCTTGTCTTTAAGTCAAACCGGATGTAAGCATTAATTACGGAAAATTAAATTTTTAATATTCTTAGTCTACCTTCTCTTGAATAAATTTTGAACAAGTATATTTTTATAAACCACATATTAAAGAAACAAAACGATTATAATTTCTTTTGGAACCTTTTGCATCATTTAAATTTGGTACAAACAAGATTTTAATTTTTATTGCCAAAAAATAAAAAAAAATAGACTGTTTTATTTCTCTCTATCCTCTTATGTTCTGTATATTTATATATAAATTTCAGCTCAAGTTATATTTATATATAAATTATATCGTTTATATTTAAATAATATTTGTATATAAATATCATATAATTTATATGTAAATTATATTTATATATAGATATCATAATTTATGCATAAATTATATTTATATATCAATGTTATATGCCGTAATGCTAGGGAGTATGACAGTTAAAAAAAGCAGATAAATTACAGGGAAGAAGCTTATTTCCTTGTATAAACCGCACTTGATTTTAGAGCAAATAAAATGACCAGTACTAAAAAAGGAAGAGAAAAAATGTAAAACAAAAAACGGGATATTTTATTTGACTTTTATTCGTAAGTATTACAGAAACGTGATAATTTGTGGTATGTGGCCACTAAATCTCTAATACACATTGAGAAGATAAATTGAAATAAAATTGGAAAACTTGTTTGGATTTGTGACAATCTGAGTTTTTTTTGTTTTGTTTTTCGAAATGCGTAAAACTACTTAGAGAAAAATTATGACAGATTTATCTCCCTTTGTCGGAATACGCCATTACATTGATATCTCTCCGCTAAACAAATGCATTCAATTTACCCCAATTTTGTCTGTTTTGAGTCCTGAAGAAAATGGATTGGCTTCTTAGCTAAAGTATAGAACGCAGTAGACTTTTGGACACAATTATGGATGAAAAAGCATGTGTCTTATATACACATCTTAGTTTAAATTTAAATAATAATTTAGTTGGAAAACCTATGACAAAAAAAAAAAAAACGGAAGAAAGTTTTCGTGTGATGTGTTTCGTATTTTAGAACTTCATCGAACTAAGGTGATGTTTACATTGATGGCACTACACATGATGGAGAGGGGAGGCAGAGAATTTTAAATTTAAATTTAAAAAAATTTAAACTTAAAATTTTAGCATTCCCCAAATAAATGTTGAAAATTATTATCAAAAAACGAAAAGATGATGTAAGTCCTCCTAAGATTAAATAATAAAGTAAAATTACCAATGCTAAGATGCACACTATAGCTAGGTATTTTTTCTTTTTAAATATTTGAGTATTTAATAGCTTACTGTACAGCAAGTTCAAGTCGTTGATTCTGCGATGTCATTTTTCTTTCTATTAGAACAAATTATTTCGCTGATGGCAGTTGGTTTGTCTGCCTGCAAATGGCATTGGTGATGCATCATCACCATAAACAGAGTAGATAATAGGTATGGGGAATTGATAGTAAATTTGGAATTAATGGTAGGCCTATTGAGCCAACTTGTTTGTTTTAATGGTATTGTCATAAAATCTTTTGAATTGGTAGACCAAACTATGACTCTTATACTTTTTCTTTCATCTTATTAAAGTTATCTTAATTTTTCATAACACTTGAGTTTTTTTGTTTTATACAGATTCACAAAATATTTTCCATCTTAAGTTAAAATTAAAGTAAAAATGTTAAAAAAAAAAATCACTGACATTTGAGAGTGCAAATTCATATTTTTAAAGCAGTGGCCAACAAAGATTTATAATTTTTTTCTGAAAACTCAGATGTTAAATCTGAAAATGTTATTGAGTTTGTTAAATTCTAAAATTTCCTTATCCATCCTCTTAAAAAAAAAAAAATAATAATTGCTTCCCTAGAAATGTAATTCTGAGTCCAAATATGATTCCTTCATAAATGTTGAATATATATCAATTCATCATAATCCTTCACTTACGTCATGTAAAAGAAAATGAATGGCATAAAATCAATAAGACCAAGGTATAGATATTTATAGGTCTATATATTACAATGGGTAATGGTGGATTATGCAGCAAATAAATGTTGAAAACACAGGACTGTGCTTGTGCCACAGGCCAAAAAAAATGCTGTTGAAGTATAACAATGTCAAGAGAGTATATCCTGTGGTTGATTTCCTTGATTCACAAACATAAGCAGCTCGTCCATCTGAAACAGTACAGCTTCCAGGCTGAATATACCACACAGAGTTTCTGCTTCCCTATCCAGCACCTCAACTAAAGAATGATTTCCCAAACCCAGCTCGATACCACCAAGTACTCACTGGCAAGGCTGCCATTGTTCATGGTGATATTTATGATGAAAAAAAAAAACATAAAATGACTGGTAATCTTTCACTTAAGCAGAGTAAAATAAACTAATTCAAAATAATATTTAAATCATGTCATATCCAGATACTCTAAATGTTTTCTGTTCTGTGTCATGTCTGAACTTAATGCATACATTTGTACTACCAATTATAACTATTGCCAGAAATAGTTATGCTGGTAAGAATCTTTCAACTTATAAAAAAGTGTACCAGTTCAAATAAATGTGTCTCTGGGAATTTTTATATAAGTTTAATAAATTTAAATTCAATGTCAGTGATCTACTGTCTTCCTGATTAATCTTCTGGTGTTCTCACTCCTTAATAATGTTTCTGTTTTCTAATTCTTTCACACTCAGTAACCTTTTGTGTCTTAGTGGCTTTACTGCCTTGCTTGGATGAATTTGATAAAAAAAAGTAAATAAATAAACATAGAATGTATAAATGATGCAGTAGAGAGAATTATTTGTAAAATAAATGCCAGGAGAAATTGAAAAAAACGTTTTTTATCGTTTGGTTTTCATCTTGTTTTTGGCACATTAAAACTATTTTGCTGCATTAAGATTATTTCGGATTTATAAAAAAGAAA